AATCACAAGTAACAAAAAAAAATGGCAGAATATGTTTTATGCAATTAAACTGTAATTCTAACTCTGACTGAGTTGAAGAAAGAAATATATAATTAATCGCATAGGCGACAAAGCTATCAAAATTAAAGAATAGGTTAAGCAATCACCAAGTTTGTTTGTTTTTCAAGGTAGCGTCTTTTAGAAAAGAAAATTTTCATGTCTCAGGATTTTGATTTATAATAATTATCGTCACTACATAGCTTGCGTAGTCATAGAAATTGTGAGTATGGTATTAACTTTTTGTTACTGTACGGGTGGGAAGATTCCAAATTTATGTACGCATGTGTGAATGTGTTTCCTTGTAATGTGTACTAATGATCAGATGGTCATCTTGTATGTATGTATGTATTAATGTCGAGAAAGGGGACAACACAAACTATGTAGTGATGATAATGATTGTAAGTTAAAATTCAAAGACATTAGAACTTTCTTTTCTAAAAGACACTACCCTGATTTTCTCATCCACGATGCAGCCACCAAAGCTAGGTCATTTACCCAGGATCAAACATTCAACCCTACCAAGAAAGAATCCACCGATCATATTACACTTGTTCTAAAACATATCACCAGACCAACAAGAAGATCAAATATATTATACTGTTATATATCTCCTTGTTTGATAATTTCCCGTATAATTTCTTTCTGAGAAACTTCAGCGATACAAGACCTTTCTTAATTAAAACTAGTTTATTCTTTCTCGTTACAAACTTTGCAATACACTTAATTTCCACAGTCACTTTGAACTTCACTACTTTTATAAACACGCTATAATTCACAGTGATTCATACACTTTACTTACGGTGCCTACTGCTCGCTTGACTCGATTATCTCAATTATCTTCAATCTCTCTATCTATCTGCAATTATATCTCCGCTTTATTTGCCAGGCTTATATACAAAAAAGAGGGCGCCTAGAAAAGACTAGAGTTGCCAGGAAAAGTCAAGATCCTTCGATAATCTCATGACGTGTTACCAGCGTCACGTGACTTCCGCTGTCGTAACAATACTAAACAATTACACAAAGTTACCGAAGACCCTACCACTAAGTCTCTTTTCAAGGAACCCCTCATTATTTCTTACAGACATGACAAAAACCTAAAAGAAATCCTGGTGCACAGTAACCAGGCACTGACACATGTAAATGAAACAGGTGTGTCATCTGTCCACATATAAACAGCACTACAGGAAAAAACACTACCTTCGACATAAGACAATCCTTTACATTTAAAATATAAATCAAATTTGATGATCACACAAGATAGTATACCTCTCTAATATCTGGAGAGAACTCTTTATCCAGAAAATCTGAAGGACAATTTACTTTAGATTGGAGAGAGTATGACTATTTTATACAGAAAAACAATAGCATAATCTCTCTTAGAGTGTATTTCAACCCACGTCAGTTGTGGTCATGTCATAAGTAAAGATAAAATAGAAGATAGCTTTGTGTTGGTTACAATCTTCATTGTAATGTTACAACTAGTCAATTCCAGACAACATTAAAAACACCGAGAAGTGACTTCATGAATGGAGAGCAAGATCTAACGAAGCTCAGGAATTGTTATTCAAATTCAATCCTTTCCAGTAGCTCTCGATTGACAGACGTAAACAAAATTAAAATCCTGTCCCATTGTGGCAAGATGTCTGTTTTTGGTTATTTTTAGTTTTCTGAATGCTCTTTCATAATATACTTGAATAAAATTCAGGCTTAGATCATGTCGTACTTAACATCATGCTGTTTATAGCCGGATTTAAAGAGTTCACGTAGTACTTGGCCAGATGCATCCTACACAGGGAGAACAGCAAATAATCTTTCTTTTACAGCAGGGATATCTCGAGATAGTGTTAACTTGGTCAACAACTGAAATATCCTGGTTACTGTCCATCTGAAGACTGAAGTTCTGGAAACCTTTTTCTTCTAAAATAAACTTTCTCATTGCTCTGGGAATTCCTGCATCAACATTATTGACAGTAGGCCTAGAGAGACGGGTCAGTAGGCTACCGCGACCGCGACCACGAGCTTTAGCTCCAGTTTGTACTTGATGTTTTCTTCTTTTGATTTTGTGAATCATCTTGTCAAAATGAGCCTTTATTACAGTATCATATTGAAATAACATGTGAATAACTACAAGAAAATTATCATGATTTATTGTATCATCATCCAAGTTGCAAGCAGTTAAATTCGAGTCAGTTTTACTACTTCAAACACAATCCTCACGACATGTATATTTGCATTGACTTGTTGTTTTTTCTGGCTAAATCCATGGCTTGGTCAATCATCGGTTGAACTGTGCTGTCATTCAAAGTTTGCTTCACAGATGTATTGTGGATCAAACTTTTTTCATGCTTTGATGCAGCATCATAAGTGTGTTTGAAATTTTTATAACCTCTAATGAAGTTTGAATTTTGTACAAAGAAAGCAATGCACACACTGCAATAAAACTATTTTACTTTCCTCTGCTCCACACGAAAAGTTAGCTATCTACGATGAATTTTCAAACCCTTCTCATCGTTTCCTGCATCTCTATAGTACAGTGTCGTAACCAAACTCAGAAGTAGCCTGTGTAGGCTGAATCAGATGTTTCTCAGAAAAGTTAGTTATATTTTAAGATTACCTGTGACTCAATATGAAAAAAAAAATGACTAAAATGCAGGAATCAGACACTAATTCAAAAGTATGTTCAATTGCTGAAGGCACAATATTTACAACTAATTATGTCTGTCTGGAACCACCATAGTTTTGTCTGCAATGGAACTAACATTAATTGAGGCAAGACTAGAATTAGGTAACCAAGGCATTTCCAGATTCTGGTTTGGGTTCTAAGAAAGAACCAACATGCCGTCCTTATTAATTATGTGGCATTACACACCTGCTGTGGTACTTGTACAGGAAAGTGTTCCTTCTAAAAGATCCCTTGCTTCGTTATCAATCGTAACCATT